TTGGTACCGGGGATCAAACTCAGGCCCTCGCACTTGCGAGGCAGATGGCAGAACCACTGAGCTAAATCCCCATGCAATTTACCATATATTTGATCACCCCTTGTATGCATAAAATTTCCCAAATTAACCATTTCTAAACACTCCATTACATAGCGTTACATACGTTTCTATTGTTCTGCAGCCAATCACCAGAACTCTTTTCTCGTTGCAAAACTGAAACTTTATGCCAATTGGCCAATAATTCTCCACAACCCCTTCCCCTAGGAAGCAATTGTGCATAAAACCCATAAAGAATGCAGTGCAATTGAGCCCAATATTCAGGTCAGAGAAGGTCATTGTTTGACTAAATTCTAGAAAAAAGAAGTTGAAAAAATGAATGCACGAGTGCACAAACGGAATGGTCCGACATCCACACAGAGGCACACTGCCCTGGGCCTTCCGGTCTTCCCAGCAGTGAGTGCAGAGATGGCTTCAGCACAAGGGGAGACTTGCTGCCGTGGGATCCCAGGCAGCCTTGCCATTCAAGGGCTCTCATGACAAAAGTCAAAGGAAGTATTGCAGAGGGTTTGTTTTTTGTTGTTTTTTTTTTTTTTTAAAGCCACATTAAGCTCAATTGTAATTTGTTCACGAGTGCACAAACGGAATGGTCCGACATCCACACAGAGGCACACTGCCCTGGGCCTTCCGGTCTTCCCAGCAGTGAGTGCAGAGATGGCTTCAGCACAAGGGGAGACTTGCTGCCGTGGGATCCCAGGCAGCCTTGCCATTCAAGGGCTCTCATGACAAAAGTCAAAGGAAGTATTGCAGAGGGTTTGTTTTTTGTTGTTTTTTTTTTTTTCTAAAGCCACATTAGCATCAATCTGAGACTTTGTCCTTGAGCTTTAAAGTTCCTGGTAAGATTTAGTGAGGTTTGGTGCTAAGCAACAGCAAAAGTCTTTGCAGGGACCTGACCATGGAAACAAGATTCTAAGCGATGACTGAGTCCAAACAGGAAACGCTTCCTACTTCCGCTCCCCACCATGGTACTCTCTGCAAAGTACCTGGCCGTGCCTTCTGCAGAGAGAGCTTGAGCTGAGGGCCAGACAGCACTGCCCTGAGCATCCCTCCCTTGGCAATTCCTGCAAGAGGAAATGGAGAAGCCACTTACTTGCCTTGAGTGCCAAGAAATCAGTAAGCAAATAATACTTCAATGCAACAGTTTTAGAGTGCAAAGCCGATGCCAACACATAAATAAATAAAACATGATGAGGAAAATACCAACTTTTTAGGCAAAGACAGGATCTGGTGGCCAGGATGAGAGGGAGACAACTGAGAATGACTTGTGTAAGTGTACAGTGGAGCCGCAAAGATGTCGTCAGGATTAAATAAGCAAACGAAGGCAGCATGCTTAGCACAAGCCACAGTGTGTTTTAGCTATTACCATCACTGTTCCTGTAATCAGCGCACTGTTACTATTACCACTAATACCATTTCTGCTCTAGGAGACAGTTGTTTCATTGCAAGGTAGAGTAGGGATCTGCAGCTCCCACCCTTGCCTCTAAACCATCTTCCTTGTATCCTGGCCCCCCATTCCCTAGCATCCTCAGGCATCCTTAACTGAGCTGGTCAGTGCATTCACGCAGCCTTGTATTTTCTCATGACTTGTCTGTTGTCGGAGTCAGAGTGGGCTGCTGGAACTAAACACCACAGACTGGGTAGCTAAAATGACTAACTTTTATGTCTCAAAGTTTTAGACCCTGGAAATCCGAAATCAAGGTGTCACCAAATCTGGAACCTGATGATTGCTCTTTCACTGGCTTGCGGGGGGCTGTCTTTTTGTGTCCTCACAGGAGCGGGGCAAGGCACCTGATCTCTTCTTTTTTTTTATAAGGACACTGATACCAGTACGAGGACCTCACCCTAATGTCCTCATCTACACTTCACTACCTCTCAAAGACCTTAACTCTGAATACCATCACATAGAGAGTTAGGGCTTTAACATGTGAATTTGGGAGGGAATATGAACACTGTCCATAACAGCCACCTCCCTAGGCTGCCTAGGACTTCTGTGAGGGAAGACAGAGTCCCATCTTGCTCCTGGTCTACCCTCCTGAGTTAAGCGTGGTGCCTGACACATCATAACACAACTACATTTATTGATTATCTTAGCCCAGTGCAAAGCACTTCTCAATCTTCCACTAAATTGGTTTTAAAGAAGGCAGAGGAGGCAACTTTCTATGTACCTTCCAGTGCTCCTCGTTCTGAAGCCATATGAGAATAAAAATCACCATTTTATTCCTTGTAGCGCTAACATTTATAGACGACTTCACACCCAGTAAATCTTGCTCTAAACTTCTCCCCTGTACTTACCCATTTATTGCCCTGAGTAAC